CGGAAAGAGTCAATATATAATAAATAGGGGGGAAAAGGGGTGGGGGGGAATCTAAAAAAAGAAGATAAAAAAATCTCGGAGAAAAATTGGAAAAATAATATATACATACATTAAGCACCTGTCACAGTCTGCTTGCTCTGTCTGGCTTCACCATTCTGTCTTTGGGGCGCCCTTCAGCACTTCATCCATCATTTTAATACCCGATATATATCCACGTATCGTATCATTGGCGGCTTAAGGGTTCAGCCGCCCAAACCCTTTCCCATCCCTAACCTCGATGCCACCATTTTGCTCTCTGCTGGCTGTGTTGGCTGTGTGTTTGGCGACTATGCTTATCGACACGCAGAATAACAATGTGACGCATATAAAGAATCGCTTTCACGTCGTGCTCGAATCGACCAGTTTTGGGATACCGGGCGCACGTGTGGCAGTGCTTCAATAGAATACATATGGCACTTGAATCGGACCTGCATTCGTCTTTGTCCATATATCTCCAGACATGCCGTATGGCAATGCGCGCTGCTCGGCAGCAAATCATACATTCCTGTATGAGAGTTGGAATGCGTCCTCAACCAGGCCGGGGCACCGCCCTATCCGCATCCTCCCAATCCTGTAGGACGCGCTCGTACTCCCCAATATCCACGGCACCGGCAGAGAATATCATGACTGCTTCGATATAGACACCAGACTGGCGGCTCTGCTGCAGCTTCGACGCTCCGGGCAAACGCACACTACTCGTCGATGACGTTTGCTGGCGTATGTAGCCAAGTACATTTAACCAGGCCCCAATTTGGAGATCGGTGGATTTGAGAGATGCCAGGAGCAGGTTGACGTCTACAGAGATTGATGGGATGGGATGGGATGTGTGCGGGTAGTTGTGTTGTAGGGTCAGATGGCCCGTTGAGGTGTTGTAGGAGGACACACTATGGGGTGTTAGTTCATTTTTGGGCTTGCTATTATCATTCCGCCCTTGCTCGAGGAACTACGATGCAGGCAAGATAATTTAGGGGAGAGCGGTTGTATCTCACCATCCAAGGAAGCGGATCTTAGATCCAATCGGTAGATTCGGGATTTCGGAGAGAAAAGCCCGGGTTGTGGGGAGTGGGCCGGCAGGGGCCTGGTTCATTGTAGGTGAGATCAATGAAGACCAATTCTATGCATTATCCATCCCTCCAGATCCTATTATGAACAGGGCCTGGAGTTGTTTTTGATATCGCTGTGGTTGGTTGAAAGCAAAACGGCTGACATAAGCGACTGACGAGGCGGCCCGATTGGAGCTGTCCACGTGATGATCCATCATCGACACCGCAGACGACGATGATCTCAAGCGACTCCGAACCCATCTCCATCTCGACCTTTTTGCCCGCCTCCAACTGCCCAAGCACCGGCCCCCTGCCTTTCTCTGCTCCCGTCGAATCCTCCGTAGTACCCTCTCCTCCCAATAGGGTACTCTGTTTTTCCCTTTATTTGCCTCCTATCCGTCTACATCCCTTCCGATTCCGCAGTCTGCAGCCTACCCACCTCCCGCATTTCCAACTTTGATACCCGAACACCGCACCCGGACCACTGCCAGCTCCATATCATACACACAGCCGCCATTGCAGCGACGGCCTTTTAGACACATCTAAGCGATATTTTATTAGCCCTCATCGGTTTCTGACCGGCAAGATGTGGTCATGGTTCGGCGGAGGCGGCCAGGCGAAGAAGGATGCGCCGAAAAATGCCATCCTCGCCCTACGTCAACAGCTCGATATGCTCCAGAAGAGAGAAAAGCATCTGGAAAACCAAATGGCCGAACAGGATGCTATTGCACGGAAGCATGTTGCTACGAATAAGAACGGTATGTTGGTTCTGCTCGATGGAAATGCTACCCCGCATGAGCGTTTTGTGGATCGCGGAACGGTGTTCAAAGGGGTGCCGAGTTCTTTGTGGAGAATTCACGGTGCAATGTAATTACTGAGTATATTATTGCTAACGCTGTTGCTTTTTCTACTTATATAGCGGCTAAAGCTGCCCTGCGACGGAAGAAGGGCCATGAACGATCCCTCGAACAAACAAGCGCCCAGATCATCCAGCTCGAACAACAAATATACTCTATCGAGGCGGCCAACATCAACCAGGAAACCCTCAACGCAATGAAGAATGCCGGATCTGCTATGAAACAGATACATAAAGGGCTTACGATCGAAAAAGTAGATCAGACTATGTATGTCATGGGAATAGCGTTTATCTTGAAGTCCCCTAATGGAACACCCCAACACATTTACCACCTACTTTCATACTGAGGCAATAACATACTAACATCATATGAACAACGCAGGGACGAACTACGGGAGCAACACGAACTCAGCGACGAGATCGTCGGTGCCATCACAAACGCGCACATTGGAGAGCCATTCGACGAGACAGAGCTGGAGCAGGAACTCGAGGGGATGGAGCAAGAACAAATCGACGAGAGAATGCTCAAGACCGGCACTGTACCTGTTGCAGATCAGCTAGGTACTCTACCTGCTGCAGCAAATGGGCCACGTGAGTTGCTTACCTATTATCCCCCCTTTCGTACTATCTAAAACGGATATCAAACAGCTAACCCTCTCTCGTGTTTCCCCAGTCAAAGGCAAAGAACGAGCCGAAGAAGAGGACGAAGAAGCCGAACTCGAGAAGTTGCGAGCGGAAATGGCCATGTAAAGACACAGGCACACATGCCCCCCATTCCAATTCTGTAAGAGGATTAAGGGACCGCCTGATTCGCATTGACCTACCTACCTACCTTATCCCACCACTCGTACTACCCACACCACGCTACACCTTTATCCGTTTCTCGGTTTCTACTTCCACGTTGGTATAAATTACTCTGTCCACTACTCTGCTGTTCATCCATATCACTCTCACCGGCCAAATCTATCCCCCGTTCTTTATTTCCTTTTCCTTTTTTTTAAACACGTGTTTACATTAAGAGGCGTTCCACGGGTAGCTAGCTAGTGTCTTTGTCTCATCTTTTCCCGGTTCTGGTTCTGGTCCGAGTTGGTTTTTGGTTTTAACATTTTTCTCTTCCCTACCGTGTTCTGTCTGACCCCCTCATATCTTCATGATGTATGTACGTATTTTGCCCCATCCCTCCCTTCTCTTACTAAAGGAAAGGGTGGATGGATACGATGGATGAAATGATGTGATGTGATGGTTATATTGAGTATTCATTCTCTTTATTTATATCTATGTTGCTGTTTTCCTCCGCTCCTTGTGCCTAGTCTTGCCTGCTATCTAATCGGCTAGCTCCTGGGGGAAGTGGCGGCAGAGGGGAGGGTGGGTAGGGGGGAATAGGCTCAGTCCATAGACGACGACCTTCCATCCCGGCAGACTGCTCGCAGTACCAGCTACCAAGCTAACTACACCCCCTCCCTATATCTCTCTCATAATAAAAATATGTCACAATAACAAATAAGAAGCCACACAGACCGAGCTTCCCCTTCATACCAATCACCAAACCACCATCACCTACACCCCAACAACCAAATCACTCCTAACAACCCACTTCTCCCCACCGCCCCTAACCTCCATCCCCTCATGCAGCAAACACCGCTCCCCATGCCGATGCAGCAGTGCCATGCCTGTTTCCGGAGCTATGATGATCGGTTCGGGAGGCGGGTTGTTCCGTTTGGATCCTTTTTGGTGTGCCTGTGGTGAGGGTTCCGGGTAGAAGGCTGTCTCGCCGCCGGCGCAGGTGGAGAGGTAGATTAGGAGCGTCCAGGTTGTGCGGGCGCGTTGGGTTTTGTTTGTGTGTGGGTTTGGGTGGGTGAGGGGGATGGAGTCGTCGTCTGGGTTGGTGGGTGGGTGGGTGGTTAGTTGAGGGGGGTGAGTAGAGTATGGGGTATATAGTTGGGGGTAATGTGTAAGTTTTAAAAAGGGGGGTGGGGGGGGTTGGGGATTTATATTCCTCTTCCCCCTTTTCCTATCTCGAAGGAAACAGAAAGTGGTTAAATTAAAAAAGAGAAACAAAAACTCACAATGCTGCGCAAAAAACTGGCCGGGTACATATCTATAAACCCTTATATTCGGATTCAACCCTAACACCTCCCCGCCCCACAGCTCCTTCTCCTCCGCCGCCCTCCCCTCCACCAACCCCTTCAACCCCGTCTCCCTCCACAACCGCTCTGCAAACACCGCATCATCCACCTGAAACCGATCGTTCACACGCACCGCCTCGCCCTTCTTTGGTCGGCCTGGGGTGGTCACGAGGGGCAGCGAGGAGAGGAAGGAGATGTAGTTCTTGCAGAGGGTTGAGGTGAAGAGGTTGCGGATTATGAGGATTTGATCGGATAGGACGGTATCTAGGGTGAGGTCTGTGGGGGGGATGAGGGGCTTTAGGGGGGGCCAGTTGGGGGGTTGTTGTTGTTGCTGCTGCTTTTGAGGTTGTGTTTGCTGTGGCTTGGTGGTGGTGGGAGGGGCTTGTTTGGATTTTTTGGCCTTTGGTGCCATTTTTTGGTTGATTGGGTGGATGCGGTTTGTTTTTGTTTTCAGGATTGGGTTGTGTTGGATGGCTGATGGGTTTTTGTCAGTTATGTGAGAACTTTTTGAGTGGATGGTAGGATCAGGGACGGATGGATATATGTATTTACTGATGCGGGGTTGATGAGATATGAATATGTTTATATGTGACACGGAATTTTGGACGATGGACTCCGAAGGTATAAAATATTGCAAATTCCTGGCTGACAAGGAGATATCTGCAGTCCGAATTAGAGAGAATATATATCTCAGTCCAAAATATTAACTGGTTATCGTTAGCATGCGCTCAGTCTGGGGGTTGTTCTATCACAACCCAGCTCACTATCAAGGGATCAATTTTCTATCCAACCCTGTCATAGACAACCCGTGGATGTGCCTTGCACAGTGATTGTGTAGGGTAGATCAACTCTTTCCCGCGTGTTTGTTCAAGTTGAGCTCATCTCAAACACAGGCAAGGGACAAAGAAAAAAAAAAGAAAAAAAAAGAAGAAGATATGATCGATACAGGGATCGAACCTGTGATCTCCCGCGAATTTGCAGTGTTTGCATGTAAAGCGGGCGCCTTGACCACTGGGCCAATCGATCTTATTGGAGATTTGTAATCTGCCATTGGCTATTTCTGCGGTGGAAGTATGTACATGGGTGGGAAAATGACAGGCGAAGTATGACGCAGGATGTTTGATGCAACACATTCAAAATATCAAAATGAGCCCTGACTACTCCGTACGCATGGTTTAGATCTCTTATTAAGCTTTCCCGCTGGATGTATATTATTGCTCCTAGCTTTGAGGGATAGGTGCCCTCTACGTGCCCAGCCCTGTTGTATCATCCAACAATAACAACACAAGACTTCTGTCATTGCGCCAAAATGTTTCCGCGCCAGGTGTGCGAAGTTCCAAGCTAGTTCGAGCAGATTATCCCCATGTCAAGACCGGGCATGACCTTCGCCTATTCCCTATTTATCTGTGCGATCCACCCTTAGATATGCCTCTCCAACGCCCGCACCCCGTCCCCCGCATAAAGCTATTCCTCTAATATCCTGTTTTCCTGAACATGTCACCCCGGGTCCATTTCCATGGTCCTTCCGGCTTCCTGTAGTTCGTGTTGTTGCGGCCGATGGATATTCGACGTGTGAGGGCGGATGGTAGGGAAAAGGCGAGCCTGGCTGTGTAAACAATAGTCATTTAGCTGTTGTTAGTTGGGTACAAGTAGATATTCGTCCGAGCTCTGGCAACCATGCTCTCCTGATCATTGTATGTTGAGCAGCCCTCTTCCTTGGGATGGTCCGTTGGATATGCTCGCGGCGGGAAATGTTGAGGAAGCGGACGCATTGTAGAAACTGAGATGTCCGTCAAGCAACGACACAAGGCCAATGTCCCGTCCTGTCATGGGGGAGACATCTCCAGGCAAACGGGCAGGGCGTAGTGGGAAGCCCAAGGATAGCTTGGATGTGCACCTAGATTAGTGCGGGCCAGTTGACACGTCCCGAGGCCGCCTGCCCCTCTCTCTCCGCCGCGTCCAGGGCTGCCAGACGGGAATATTATTGGAAGCGGGATCTGGGGAAGTGCGACGCTTCCAGGAATAGGAACAGCCGCGAAGGGGGCGTGGCTGACTCAGCCGCGGCGGGCCCAAAGCAGGCAGCCAAGCGAGCAGCGCTAGTCCCAAACTAGCCTAGCGGCGGCTAGCGTCTTCAGGCGCTACGGTTGCCCGCAGCCGCCAACCAGCCGCGGTCTCGACAAAATCGGCGCTTCTCTTCAACTTCACCGCTTTGAGCTGGCTGGGTTGTCTCTGCCACTGCATGCCATGTCGTCGTCTCAGACCCTGACGACGTCGCTGATGGGGCATTCGCCTCATGACGCGGCGCCAGATCGGTCTGCGTTCGATCTCGGCGACCGCCCTCGCGAGATCCCGGCCGACATTCCCCCAAACCTCGATGTGCCGAACAAGGCTGCTCTGGACCACATCCAGTCTGCGCAGAACACTTTCTCCGCCCTGTCGGGTACGTCTCCTCTGTTCTGTCGAGTGCATCCGTCTTTGCTGCTGACCTGCGTGGTGCGTAGATGATTACAAGAAACAGTCCGACCGCGAAAAGCAGAGCGCCGCCAGCGCCCTCCTCGCCCAACTGCTAGCCAACAAGCCCGCATCCAACGAACCCGAACACCCGCCTCCGCAGAACGACCCCCCAACCGGAGATCTACAGACGCATAACAATGCCAACGACCAACAACAACAGGACCTGTCGGGGCTCCCTCCGCTCCCGGAGGCCAGTGCGAACCCCCCCGGCGCTATCGAGGACAATGCGATGGAAGCTGCGTGGGACATGAACCAGGTCTCAAAGTCGGATAAAGATTTGCTGGCGGAAGTTTTTCAAACGGGAAATCTCCCACACGATCTGAATATGGCCTTGGGTGCACTGCAGAGCGACAATACAAAGCTGGATTCCGAACTCGACAACATTTGCTCAGGATTGCTCCCGTTGGGAACACCGAAAACCCCCAAAGACGCCTTGGCGCAGAGTGACCTCCTCGCGGCATCCTACTTTGATGGACACTTCAGCTCGGGCCCAACTCCACGGATCGTCAACTATCCCGAACTCCCGCATACCGAAGCCGAAAATTCCCAACTCGGATCGGAATCCATCGCCGGATCTGAACCCCGCATTCAGGCCTTTGCCAAGCTGGAGTTCGACGACGGCCACTTTTACGTCAATACATACTCGTTTATTCTAGGACGTGATGTTCGCGCCGCTCGTGCCGCATTCCAGCGGGAAATACACGCCAGACAAGCAAGAGGGCAAAGCTCTAGTGGAGGAAACAAGTCCCATACCCCTAATCGAGTAAAGCATGAAGGAAGTGCCATGATTGGTAGTGTTGTTAGTGACCGGGGCGGCATCATGGGCTTCGATCCTGACGTACCGCAACACTTTCCTCCTCAAGTTAGCTGGAAATCCTCGAATTCCTCCCGAGGGGAGCATGCACGCCCTACCCTACATATGTCCGCTGTCGAAGTCCCACCTACCCCACTGGAAACGCCGGAAATAACGAAAGATTATAACGCTCTTGCGATGCAATCATTACGCTCCGGTAACGACCCTAAGCCTGTCGATACCCTTTCACTATTGCCTTCACCAGATGCCTGTCCCACGATACCAATACACCCCCCCGCCCCAGCTAACGGCACGGTTGCCACTCACCGTGGCATTTCGCGGAAGCATGTGAAAATAGCCTATAATTTCGACCGGAATTTGTTTGAGATGGAGGTTATTGGAAGGAATGGAGCGTTTATGGGTGCGGACTGGCTCGCCCCCGGTCAGGTCAGACCGCTTCACAGTGGCGACTTTATTCAAATAGGGGGCGTGCGCGTAAGGTTCGTGCTTCCAGATGTTCCAGTCGGGGAGACAGGAGCGGAGCGAGAAGAGTCACCACTGCCTGAAGAAGAGGAAGCCGTTGCTCGGACGGCTGTAGAGGAGGATACGAAACCTGCCAGCGATGCCGAGGCCGCTGATAATATGGAGACCGATGGCTCGGAAAACAGCGGCGACGATGTCCAAGCGCGGCAGAAGAAGGCTACCAATGAATCCGGGTCTAAACCAAAGGCTTCCAGCGAGCTAAGCCAAGACGCGTCCTCTCAGCCTGCCCGCCGTCGCGGACCTGGCCGTCCTCCAAAGGATGGAATCATGTCCAAACGGGAACGTGCTGAAATTGCCCGAGAACAAAAACTGGCTGCCAAGCGCGAAGCAAATGGTGGTGTGACCCCTCCGCCATCAAGCCGTGGAAAGACCGGCAAACCTGGAAAGGAGTCTGGAGCGGAGGACCCTGCAAGTATCAAAGCAGAGAAGCGCAAATACACTAAACGCAAGAAGCCCGATGGTGTTCCTGGTGATATGGTTATGCCGTCGATCGAAGGTGGTGACGTGAACCCTGAGATTGTACTCGAGGATACACCCAAGCCGATGCCAGTAAAGAAGCGCAAACCGTCGAAATCTCCATCTCCCGACTATCCGCCAGAAAGCTTCTACACAAACGAAGACCTCGCGAAACCTCCTTACAATTACGCTGTCTTGATTTTCGATGCTCTGACCGAATCACCTACTCCAATGACCCTGAAGCAAATATATCGCGCTCTCAAGCTCAAATACCCGTACTTCCGGTTCAGGTGTGAAACTGAGGGCTGGACGTCAAGTGTTCGCCACAATCTCAATGGTAATGCTCATTTGTTTGAGCATGCGGAGAGAGATGGAAAGGGGTGGTCGTGGAAGCTTACGCCTGGGGCGTCTGTTGACAAGGAAAAGAAGCGCCGGCCATCGCCTCCACCGCCTTCACACAATACTTCACAGCCTCCAACCAACATTGGAAACAACCCGTCCTACTTGGCTCCAACCCCCGGTCCACCTTTCAACGCGTCTCCCCAACGCCCGACTGAACATCATAATCCTCATCCATTCCCCTTTGCCCCAGGCAACAACCCATTCCCTATTAACGGAGGAGGCCCGCCCCCAGCACACAATAGTCCTTATTCCATACCCAACCCGCCCCAATTCCCAATCCCCAATGCATTGCGTAATAATCTACCTCCAACTTTTGCCCCTCCAACCACCTCAACTTATCGATCGCCATATGCTTCCGCACCGCCACCAGAAATCTTACAAGCTCAGCAACAGCAACAGCAACGCCAGCCGCCGCTGCAACCGCCGCTGCCGCCATCAATACAACAGCAGCAGCAACAACCACAACCACCACCACACCCACATCCTCCCCAGTCACAACCACAGCCACAGCAATCCCAACAACAGCAAATGCCGTCCTCAGAACCCTACAAGTTCCAAAGTCAACCACAACATGGAATGCAAAGCACAGTACCACCACCTGCAAACACAGCACCTCCGAAACCGCCATCACCTGCCAATAACCCCCCACCAAACCCTCAATACCAACCTCAACCACAGCACCCTCCACATCCCCCACAACCCCCACCACAACCTCAACCTCAACCCCAACAATCCCACCACCACCAACAACAACAACCATCATCATCAACACCACCTCAAAACCGCCCCCCTCAACCCCCTCCCCCTCCCCCCTCACCACCGCCAGAAGACCCCGACCCGGAACCCTCCTTCCTCGAACGCGCCAACCAAGCCATCGACAACTTCGAAGCAGTCCTCATGGAAGACTACGAGGATAAAGAATACATCTCCAAAGTGCTCCGGAGCGCGCGTGACCGGGTTCTAAACGGGGCCAAGGAGAGTTCGTTCCCCGGCGGCGAGCCGAAGGATGAGTCGGTTATCATCGATGCGTTGAGGGGGATTATTGGGAGTTTGAATGAGAATGAGGAGTGATTGGGAATGATATTGCATTTTGTTAATTGAAGTGGGGTTGGTTTTTTGTTGTTGTTGATGACGATGGGGTAGGAAATGAATGATACAGGTGTTTTTTTTTTTTTTTTTTGGTTTGGTTGTATTTGTTTTGCTGGGCTGGCTGGCTGGGCTGGCTGGCTTTGTCTGCTTGATACCATGATTTCTTTCCCCGCAGAAATGTCTCCTGATGGATGGATTGGCTGGTTAAATTAATGATTAATGGTTTAAA